GAAGATCTACAAGGTCCCTTCTGACCCTACTTCTATGAAAATTTAAACTCATTTCTCCAAAAGAAACTATAATGTGTTTTACTAGACTACTGACAGATGTTCAATTTAAGGTGCAATGGTAAGGCAAAGTCATTTGTTATTTCATGGCTTATTCCATGCTCTATTTATAACCACAGTAATGGTTTTATTGTGCCATTAACTGCATAAATCTATGGCTGGGTTGACACTTAAGATGTAATTAACCAGTTAATCACATCTTAAGTGTAAAGTCTGCCAAGGGCTACAGTCACTCTCCACCTCTTAGAACATCTGGCGATTCAGGTTTTAGCTAACCCAGTCATTCCACAGAAATGGAATCCTCTGTTTCTTCAGGAAGTCCTCACTCTGGTAAATCGGTGGATCCACTGATCATTCATAGGAATAATGCTTTGTTGGATCAGTTTCTAAGTCCTTTTAAGACATTTAAAGGGTTTTTACATATACACATACATATACACATATATATGTAATTTTGGAGCAATATTGACAGATAATTTAGAAGTGCAAATAATAGAAGCCAAAAATGCATGTGCATGTGTTGAGGTAAAGATGGGGGAGAAAGATGATACCACAAAGCCTAATCTCCAAACACAGAATGCGGGTTAAGACCCAGGGCCAAATCCTACTCTACCTATTAGGTATGCTAGCAAAATCCTCTTCTATCCCAAGTCCTTTAGAATCCATTAATACATCTTTTATGATAACCTTCTGTTATTTTAGTAGAGTAGGTAGGAGGAAGAGGACCCCACCCACCTTTTGAGTTACAAGTTTTTCAAGGACTCATGCAGGACAGAATGAGGTCACACTTGGGTGTCTATGTTCACTTAGGCACCTAATAGGGGCACTGGGATCTGACTGCCAGTCTTTAAACCCATATTTCATAATGGGAAGTTATACAGACTTAATTCAGTCTATACTGTATTGACACCTTGGAAATCATGTACAGTACTGCACTACTAGATGCCATTTTTCATTTTATTCTGCGTCTGTCCTTCAATATATCTGAACCTTATACATTATTTGTTTTCTGGTTGTATGTGAGCAGCCCAGAGAAGATCACATCCTACTGACATAGCCTATAAACTTAGCAGAACTTTGTGTCAATAATCATGATAAATTCCTTGATGATGAAATATTTCCCATTTAAAAAAAAAAAGTCTTTGTGTTGGGTTTTTTGAGAGACCCTATTATCAAGTGACTATGTGTCTGTGTAATATTATAACACTGTCTGTATGTGAAATTAAAAGAAAAAGACCTGGGTAGCTCAAATACCAGAACCAGGAGGAAATCCTAGAGATGCTAGATATATATGCTATTACATAAAAAGCTGTGATGAAAGACAACTTGCTAAAGTCAAGAGTGATAGCAATCTTGAGAAAAAATAAAGACACAAAACAGCTGCTCTATCTTCTATATGTACCCCCAACTTAATGTTAAAACCTTTACAAATGCAGGACTAGCTTGTGATCAATTAAGTGGAGATCATGCCCCACTTAATTAGGAAACAGCCTGTGCAAGCTCCTGCCAAAATTGAGTACAAGTGCCACTACAAAGTGGCTCACTCATAGAAGAAAATCAGAGTTGAGGTCAAGAGAAGGGAAAAGATGAAACCATGGCTTTGACCTGTCCAGACAACAATCAAATCCATAGGACGGGACTGAAGAACTGTGCTGCACCCATTTTTTTTTGTTTTGATACCCAATGTCTCACTTGTGGGACAGGAGGCAGGTTTAGACTACAATCATCTCACTAGGACTTCAGTGATAAAATGATCATAAGTGCAGGCACACAAGCCCTTCCTTCAGAGCAGGAGACCTCTGGTAAGCCCTATTAATTTTAATGTGCTGCAATCTGTTTAGTTGTTTGTCCATACCTTAATATTGCTTACTGCCCAGGAAGCTTAAGAAGTTGTGTAAGTGTCATGGCACTGACAATTTTTAACTCTAGAAGATGCTTGTGATGAAGGTAACCTGAATGTGGATTCTGTACAATTGGGTACAATGTTCTAAAGGCAGGCAGACTTGTTATGGAGAGGCATGGGCATTCTGTCTTAGTCCGGCCTGCATCTGAGAGGAAAAAAAATGTATACGTGTATCCCTAGAAGTGCAGTACTTAAACATGACCTTTCAAATCAGCTTTACTTCAAGAATTTCAGAGAACAGAAGAAAAAACTGTTCATGAAAAATATTTTTCAGTCAAACTTTGAAATCACTTTTTTACTTTCTTTACAATTACGTACATTTTTAACCTGACAAAAAAGATGTAAAACTTTCCTGTTATAGCCTCAAGTTGCCCTGTTTTCTCTTACTGCTGACTCAGCACCAGAAGCAGGGGTTGAGAGATTCCTCTTCCAAACCCCATCAAAATGCATATGACAAAAATAATTCCTCATTAGCAGGAACTGACATCCCTGACATTTAGTGCTTATGTCAGTACTCCTGGGCAATTAGAAACAGAGACATATATGGTTTCTCATAGAAGAAGAATAAAAATTAGTTACATACCTGATTTGGGCTTTTGTTCAACCTAGCAGCTATGGAAGCAAATGTTTTTCCTGATGGTCCTTTTTTCTGACACTCCAGTAGAATTTCTCGGTCATCATTTCTGCAATTAAAATATGAGATTAAATGACTTCCAACACCTGCATAAAAAGTCACATTATTCCCAAAGACAGCTCACAACAGTGGCTCTCCCTTTTACTGAGGCAAGGCAGTGATGCTGTGGCAGGCATGTACCAGGTAACCAGCTCTCACTCTCCTCCTTTAACGGGATAATAGGATAATACATTGAAGTTAAACCACCCCAAAACTAAGGGATAGATCCTTATAAAGACTTCAGTCTGAAAGTGGGTGACAGTTGAGATGTAGGTGCCCAAATTAAAAAAAAAAAAAACTCTCTTGCTCAGGTGCTGCCTAATCCTGGAGGTGACAAATTCTTAAACACATCAGTTTTTTGCTAGTAAAGTTGCTTAGATAATTAAAGGTCACCTTTTCAGCATATTCAGAAATACCTGTTTTAACAGTGCTGAGCAGCTCCGCACTCAGCTCACGTTAGTCCCATCAGGAAGCTCACTTCTTCACTGATCTTGCCTTTAAGCCTTAATCTGGTAGGTATCCTTTGAGCAGGTCTCAGATCGGACTGAACAGCCTACTCCTCAGTTCCCAACCCCACCCTGCCTTTTATCCAAGTATAGGAGACCTAGGTACTATTTCCTGCTATATCTTAGAAGGATCAAACACATTATCTTCTGCTGCCCATGAGACTATCCTTAATGTCATACTACAAGTTTTGGGTTGAAGCAGTTCAATCTTCCACTGAAGTATTTCCACTTAGTACAAAATAATTAAAAATTCACCAGAATGGAAACACGTATACAGAGAATTTGTGTGAATGATTATGAACATGTGCACAACAGCAGGCATAATTCCATACTGTAGCAATTACAGCAATCACTTGGGGAAGGTGAGAACTATGTACTAGTTACTACTCCTAATAACCATTTTACTGTTTTAAAAAGGTAACTGTTTAACCACTGAAGCAGGAATTCAAACCTAGGACTCTCATCAGCAAATAAGTGTTCAAATGATAAGCTCTATAATCATTCATGTCACTGCAATCAATATCACCTCTTCCCTCTGGCTTTTTTGAAACACAAGATGGATTTCCCATTTCTTCAAAGTAGTTGTGAAAAGTCAATTGTTTGGGAAGCCCCTGAACACAATACTACAAATACCAAAATAACTTTCCAGTTTTTAATTATTCAGAAAGTACACAAGAGCTCACATTTTACAAAACGGATTCATATGATTGACAAGATAGCCAAAGAAACATTTCATACTCTTACGAGTTAGTTCAAAAGGGGACAAAGGTTCAGGCTTCTGAATTAGACTATATTTTGTAAATGAGAAGGTCTTAAATCTTTGACATGTATACTTATTTCAATATTTGTTTTTTAAAACCTGTTCCTGCAAGTGTACGGATAAGATTTCTGAAGAACCAGTATAAAATTTAAATGGAAACAAAACAGATTTACAAAAGTTTAAGGGAGTCTATTAACATGGGTTGGAGTGTTCCTGCAGCCATGAAGGTCCAGGAAACGTCTTAGAGGCAAGGATTTTTCACAATACATCTTTTACCAGACCAACTACATAATTTGTAGAGACAATGGACAAATTTGGGGGCATGAAGTGTCCTTCCTGTGGTCACCCTGACGCCTGAAACCTTGTCTAACTTGTCCCAATGATGGAATTAGCTCAATAAAAGATATCACAAAAAATTCTTGCCTCTTGAGCCTGTTAACTCCAAACAGTTTTTTAAAAATAGGTCTTAATGTCAGGGTAAGGGTAAGTCAGGAAATTGGTTATTGGATATAGAACCTTTATCCATTAGACTATTAGACTGATCCTAATACAAGTAAATCACTGAAAATCTTTACCTTCCAATGGCTGCTTAGTGTATTACATGAAGTTATTTATGGATTTAGACCAATTGCCACTAAACATACATCTGAGAGGGGGAAAAAACCAAAACCAAATAATCTACTGGTATCTTTACTTGTCACTTTCAGAATAGAGCTTATGGACTAAGAGGGTTTGGAGATCACAATACTCTCCCAACCTGAAGAGCTTTTCCCGAGCAAGGTTAATATAGCCTCAACCTATAGTAACATAGGAAGTAATAGCCTACACTTGCTACCTGTGCTACATTAATTCTACAAAAACAGGAAATTCCTGTTTCCTACTAAATAAATTGACTTTTAAACCCATTCTTCAAAACTTCCACACTTCCTCCTTATAGAAAAAAAAAATACACCACCCTGTTGATCTTCTTACCTTGTCCAAGAAACCACAACTTCTCCCTTCTTTTTAATGATGTTTTTGGCATATAGACCAAGCGATGATGTGGAAGAAGCTGAATTGGAAACCGTAGGATCTTTGTTCTGTGGCAATTCATTCTTTGTACTAGTAGGTGTCTTGAGAGGTAAACCTCTCTCTCCAGAGATCATACTATTTTTATCATTTCCTTCACTGGAAGATTCGGTTTCTTTTCTTTGTTTCTTTGAGTTGGAACTGTCTGCTAAAGACTCCCTCTTCCTTTTTTTGCTAGCTTTATCATTAAGGCTTGTGTGATATCCCAGCTCATTGACCTTTGAAGTGGATTTTGTTTCAGGATTGCACTTGTTTGCTATGGTCTCACTGGAAAGGTCTTCTGTTAAATCTATGCATGTATTAATATTGCACTCCGAATGTTCTTTATCACCTAGACTTGAGCTTCTTGCATGAGTTTCTGGATTTTTATGATTTAAAGTGGATTCCAAAGAAAGATTACATGAATCTGATTCATTTTCATTGCCAGTATCTTCTGTCAAGCACATGTGTGTATCAACACCACCTTCCAAGGGAAGAGCAACTTCTGATCTAATAGTTATTTCACTTGTGCTTTCAAGCACTTTCAGTTCATCAAGCTGAGGCAGCTTACTGTCTTCCCTTACATTTTCATTTCTACAGCTATTTTTGTTTGATGGCTCACTAACGGATTTAAGTAAGTCAGGAATTTCTTCTTTTCCAATAGCATTACATGGCTTCTTAAAAGGCTCAAGCAAAGCAGGACTCTGTTCTTGTCCAATGTTGACATTATGAAGCTCATCGGTGTTATTCAGACGTATCCTAGGTGCTATTGTTTCCTTGACAGTTGAACGTACGATACTCTGATCTATTTTCATTTTGGCAGATTCAATTAGTTCCTTTCCATTCTTTGTTAAGGTTGCCGGAGACTCCTCTGTTTGAGTAGTCTGTTCAAGGATTTGCGATGTAGACGGCACTGCACGCCTTATCTTAACAATGAAATGATCATTGGATTTCTCCATTATTACTGCTTGCATTGGCAGGCTGGGGTGACAGTGAAAGCCGGGAGCAGCAGGCCGACCTGTCCATGAAGAAGAACAACTTGATCTACTACTTGAGTTATCAGATTCTAAAGCCAAATGAATGTCTTGTTCAGTGGCATCTTCCTCCTCAAGAAGAGCATCTTCACTATAATGTGCACTAAGAACTCCTTCAGGAGTAGAGTTGGATACATTTTCAGGTTTCAGAAAGCTAAGGTGAGCATCCGATTTCAAAGGTGATGGAATAGTTAAAGAAACTGCTAGATCTTCAAGGAGGATAGAGGAAACAACCGACTTATTCTTTTGTAAATTGCATTCCTCATCTTTGCCTGAAGTTGCATTTGTGGGAACCTCAAACATACAGCTTTCATCCAGAATATCTGGATCAACTGGGATTTGAAGTCTAGATGATAAAGATGAGACTCTTACAGGTGAAACCACAGGCCAACTAATGTCTTCTACAGGTCGAGGTTCCATACAGACCTCCTTTGGAAGCACTTCTTCTATAACAGGAACAGGATTATTTCTGTATTTATGACTTTCTAGAATCCGTTTCTCTGGTGTCCGAAACTCCCATTGATTTCTATCAATATTGGTAATGTTTTTTTCCAAAAGATCAGAGCCTTGCAACAGACTTTTGAATATCTCACCCATTTGAGCATCACTCACCAGATTAAATGTAAGGCTAGATGTCTGTTGTTCTGTGAGAAGCTCAAAACTAAAATCAGACTTGTTAGCATCTCTGGCTATCTGTAAGCCTTCCTTTTCAAATATCGTGCCTTTGAATGGAGTTAGAGTACCTTGCAAGCCATTTTCCTTCGGAGGCTGCACTTTGGTTTGGGAGATCCTTGTATTATCAATGGCATTAAAATATTTTGTAACTGCACTTTTTGGTGCATCTACTTTATTTTTGTCATCATGAGACTTAGATGATTGATAACTTCGTTTAGAAAGGACATAGCCTTCAGGCTTCTGAGATCTGGCTTTTAGGACCTTTTTCTTGGACTTCTGTAAATCCACTTTATAACATATTTTATGTTTTTGTTTAGTTACTATTTCAAGCTTTCCTTCATCACTCTCACTTCCTACACTTACTGCATCACAAAGCTTTACTATAATCCTCCTTATCTTTTCAAATAAGTAATCAAGTTGTTCATCCACAAATTTCCATAACTGTTTTTTCATATCTGACAGGTTTTGTTCAAAGAGGCGATCTACTGTTGCATTCTTTTTAACTTGCTTAAGTTTGGATTCTATAGTGTCACACAGATTCAGTTTTAAAGTATCGCCTAATTTTGACATCTTGGAAAAGTTCAGGTACTTTATCAGTGATGTAAAATTCAAAATGGCTGATTCTATAATTCTGTGAAAGTGCTGAACTGGGAAATGTACCTTGAACTTCATATAATTTTTCCTTATCTGTTTTCGTATAGCCCGCAACATCTGCATAATTTCTTGTACTGTAGAGGGTTCAACAATAACTTGAACTATTTTCTCAAGGCACGTAATGCTCACGGTTTTATTTTTTTTCATTTCCTTTGAGGATTTGGTCCTGATTTTATATTTTTCCCTACTTTTTTTAAAGCTGTCTTTTTCAGAAACTAATTTTCCATTATCGTCATTACAACATGCAGTTTTATTCATTTGGTTACACGGACTGCTGGTCAAATTATGTGTTTCAGGAGAAGCTCTTGCTCTTGATTTCTTACTATTTTCGCAGTTTCTAGCTGGTGTAGGTTTTTCATCCTCACTTACAATTTCCCCTTCTTCTAGCTCATCGGAGGATGTGCTCAGCTGGGACTCCATCTCCAAGTGTTCATCAGGTGTAGAAACTGGCTTTTGATTTTCTTTGTTCACCTCATTTGACAGGTTCTTTGAGGGACAGACAACTGCATTTTCAACAATTAAATCTATAAAGAGAAGATAGTGTGTTAACAACCCAGAGACACACAGAAGGCAGATATTTTGAAGAAAGGCAGAAGACTCGGTTATTTAAGCGTTCACTTCCAACAGAAGGTAGCAGTTTAGAATAGTCTGTTTAGAATGATCAGCTCTGCTCAGTATGGTTGATCTTGAAACATGACAGTTAATGGACAATATTCTTCAGAAAGTAGTTTACATATAATGCATTACAACTGACATTAGGCTTTAAGCTTATAAACTAACAGCAACTGCTTACAGAGATTTCATTAAGTGAAAATGTGGTCTGCAAAGAACCATATTGTTTCTTTATGAAACTCAGTAATTCCTATTATTTTGGACTTTTCTCCATGTAGTTATTTGTTATGATTACACTGTACAAGATTGCATTTTTTATATTAACTACAACTATCATAGATTAAATCAGACCTGTATAAAAATCCCATTTTCTTTTCTTAAAGAGTTTTAACTAAAAGGTCAAAACATGCAGCATAAATCAGTTATTTACTTTTGCATTCTGTTATCTACTATAGAACTGTCAGATGTGATCTAGTGTTTCCTTTTGGCCTTAAAAGTGCACAAATCTACCAAGTAAGAGATTAAGAGATTAAATCCCATCATGCCATACCATGCAGATGGTTGTAAGTTTGTAGCTCAGGAGCTAATAGCTTAAGAAAAAAAGAGGACTCCATATAAATACCTTTAAATTGAACTTCTATTAATTTTGGAAAACCTTTAGCTTAGTTGTTTGATTTACAGGAACAGGGGAGGTGAGAGGGATAAAAGATTTTTTTCTAGACTAAACTAAAAATTGTGTTACATTTCTCTTAACAAAATCAAAAGAACCTATACCTCTTTAGATTTTCCCTTTATTTTTACCCTGTTTATACTTGATTTAATCCCATGTTACAAAAAAAGAGGCACTAGCAACCCCAGTATAAAAATAGTAGCACCTAAATGTGGAAAATAATAAGTAGTAGATACTATTTGATTAATTATGTTAAACACTCTGCATATCTGGATATTACTGTAGAAGAAGAAAAATGGAACTAGTCCTCAAGTCTGAGAAACAGAGTTCCGTAAGGACATGGTCACATTGACTTTTGCAGAAAGCATGGGATTATGAAAAATGTTCATACACATGAAACAGGGCTAGAACTCTCTCTTCAAGGAACAAACTAAACGTTCCAATAGAATACTAACAGAAAGCTGAAGTTAAGACAAATCCATAAACCAGGAAATTCAGACATGGGATTACCTACTATTTCCACACCCTTACGTTGTTATTGTACCTATGTTAGAAGAGAGTTTTTATTTCAGTTTCACCACCTCTCTGGTTACCTGTTCCAGCACTTGAATACCTTCCTTGTAAGAAAGTTCTTCCTAATATCCAACCTCAGATTCCCCTACTGCAACTTGAGCCTGTTGCTCCTTGCTCTGTTGTCTGCCACAACTGGGAACAGTCCAGCGCCTTCCTCTTTGCAACCCCCCTGCAGGGAGTTCAAGGCTGCTATTAAATCCCCCTCAGTCTTTTCTTCTCCAGACTAAATGAGCTCAGTGCCCTCAGCCTCTCCTTACAAGTCATGTCCCCCAGTCCCCCAACCATTTTTACTGCTCTCTGCTGGACTCTCTCCAAAGTGTCCACATCCTTTCTGTAGTGGGGGGCCCAAAACTGGACACAGGACTTCAGATATGGCCTCCCCAGCGCTGAATAGAGGGGAAGAATCATTTCCTTCAATCTGCTGTCAATGCTCGTACCGATGCAGCCCAGGATGCCATTAGCTTTCTTGGTGACAAGGGCACATTGCTGGCTCCTATTCAGCTAATTATGTACCCCAATGCTTTATGATTAGCGAACAAAATTCTCCTTTCCTTTAATCCCAACTCATATTTATAAAACATATTTATTAACTTAGAATCATAGAAAATTAGGGTTGAAAGGGACCTCAGGAGATCATCTAATCCAACACCCTGTACAAAGTAGGACCACCTCCAACTATATCATCCTAGCCAAGGCTTTGTCTAGCCAGGTCTTTAAAACCTCCAAGGATGGAGATTTCACAACCTCTCTGGGTAGTCTGCTCCAGTGCTTTAACTACCCTCCTAGTGAGAAAGTTTTTCCCAATATCTAATCTAAACTTCCTATGCTGCAACTTGAGACCATTGCTCCTTTTGTTCTCTGCCACCACTGAGATGGTATACAAATGTACATTCAAATTGATTTAATTATGGAGAAAGAATGGCCTTTTCAGCTAGCTTACACCTCTGCAAGTTAGGAGAGCCTACACATGTGCAGAGAGGCTGCTCCAGTGCATTGTAATTACAACACATCTGAGCACACTCAATTAACTGAGTAGGCTGGAGCATGGTAATTACCGCACTCCAGTGTCACATGTATCAGTGTCTCCGTGCTGAAAAATGGTGACGGGGCGCTTTAACTGAAGCTCACTCAACAAGCTTTAGTTAAAGTGCCCCTACCACCATTTTTCAGTGCAAGGACACTGATACACGTGATGCTCCGGGCACTTTAATTACAGCAGCTCTCGGGGCTGTTCTAATTAAAGCACCCCCCTGCCTCCCACAGCATGTCTATACACTCCCATGAGATCAAAGTTCTAGTTTCGGTTTTCCTTGTAGACTAATCACTTAGAACTATAGATTTAAATGTATTTTGATACTTAAAATTTTAAACAGGCACTTGTGAAAGCTCCTTTAAGCACTTATTTGTATTTTAGGCACCTAAATACATTTTAAAACCTTGTCTTTAGTGCTTTGTCCCAGTTTCCCAAATTTAAAACGGATACTGCTGAAGCTAGTCAGAAAATGGTCCCTACCTTTGAAAAGTTGTTAGGCAAAAATGAAAAACAGAAATATATCAGTCAAATTCCAAAACAGTCAGATTCTGAAATGCCACAATGCCAGGCTTCTACTCTGTTCTCTAGGCAAAACTTCCTTGTTGGACACGTCCCATGACGGGCCAATCTCTTCTTCTGAAGGGGGAATATATTATAGCAGCTGCACGGTGACAATGGTTTATGAGATGATGTCTAACTGCAGTCTGATTCATAAGGAAATGGCAGCATAAAGCACCAGAACTGCATTGAAATTGAAAATATTTCTGGTTTGGGTCTAAATATTTTGGTTTGTAACCACTCCATTTTTCAATAACAGCGGCAAAAACAACTAAAATCAATACAAATTGTTTTTTTGCTGACTTTTCATTTGATCAAAACAAGTTTCCTGCTGAAGAAGAGTTCAATAGAAAAAAACCTTTCAATTAGCTTTAGGTATTACTTAATATTTATGCCCTACATACTTGGCTTTTGGGAGGCCTACTTCACAAATACTTAGACAGCAGAAAGATCTTGGAACATAAGAAGCCACAGAAATCTAAAATGTGTCATAGATTTACTTGTAAGAATTCCATAATTTAATTTGCTTTAATTCTTCATTTAAAATAGAGTTTAAATCTTTGTTTAAAAACATTAATCAAAATACATGCAAAGAAACACACGCACGCACTTTGTTATATAATGAAGAACCTGCACACATACCTTGTAGAATCAAAGTTAAGATGATCACCAAAACATAACATCAATTTTTATGTATGTTTCTTTCAACTAAAATTCTAGTTGCACATGAGTGTAGACTCATAAGCATTAATGTCTAATTGGCTACAGGCATTTCATTTTGCAAAGACTCCAGCATGAAGTACACATGCAAAGGGGAAAGATGGAAAGGAAAAATCCCATGACAGCTCAAAAAGAAATATATTCTCAGGATTTAAATCTAAGAAAAGCTTAATTATACTTTCCATTAATGCATTATTTTAGATATTCAAGCAAAAAACTTAGACAAAAATAGATATGAATACCTTTATTACAGCTTTTCACAAGTCCTTTGCAAGGACTTTCCATCTTAAGTGCTTTAGCCAAGGGTCGCATAGGACTGCTCAGTGGGCTGATTGCCTTTGGAATATACCTCAGGTGATTGAGATCAATGCTCAGTATTGAACTCTCATCTTCAGCAGAAACTGGATTGATTTCTCTTTCTTGAATTTTAGGATCCATCTCCTCACCAACAGAAGATGCAACTACACCTATATCTGTTTCAGATAAATTTGGGTCCAGGTTACAAGTATTTTGGTCAATTACTGGAACATCACCATCAAATGGCTCAGATTTATTTATATCATTCTTGTACTGTACAGATTTTGAGATGCTGTCTTCCTCAGCAGGACACGCAAAACTTTCACCAGACAAATGTTCACTCACATTCATGACCTCCATTAATGAGTCTGATTTCATTTCTCTATTCTCTGCAACACTGAGAGACTCCATATTATCAGAGGTTATGGTCTCCAACTCATCCAAAGGAATGTTCTCAGGTTGATTTTGATCTACACAGATCTCTAAATCAGGAGCTGTGCACATTTTATCCGTCTCCTCCATCTTTATTCCAGACTCAGGCAAGGTCACTGTATCACCAACAGGTAATTCAGACTCAGTCCCCTCCACAGTTTCTGCCAAAGCCTCAGATTCTGCCACTTCCAGGGTTTCTGTTAAAGTCTCAATTTCAATCTTCTCTCTGAACTCAGAAACAGGTGCCACTGGTTCCAAATTTGTTAGAACTGTATTGTCTGGAGCCTGTAATGATGACTTGGTCTGCTCTGTTGAATCAACACTACTAGACTGGACAAATAGAGGATTTTCTGCTTGTACTGGTGTCTCTGTACTACATTCATCGCTGACCTTTTTGGAATCTGTTTCAAGTGTGTCTGTTTGACAGAGACACTGTTTTTTAGCAGGAGAAAGAGTTAAGTTGAGCTTTTCCATAAAACTCAGCTTTAGGTCTTTGTTTTTTCTCTCAGTTTGATTCTCTTTACTTGCATCTATTTGCTCTTTTAAGCCATCTGCAACTTTGGACATTTCTTCTGGTCTAGGCAATTTGTTTCTCTCATTTCTTGTAGCATCTGTAGCTTTCTTGTATTCTTTTAACGGCTCATGTGAAACCTCTTTTGTTACTTTTCTTTCACTTCTAGAATGTCTGCCTTCTTCCTGACTTTCTTTCTCCCTTTTTCTTCTCTCTTCAGTACGATGTCTCTCAGATTTTGAATGCGTTTCCCATTCATGTCTCCGGCTACTTTCCTTGGAGTGTGAGTATTTGTGTTCCCTGCTGCTGGAAGTAGAAAGTGGGGATCTTCCTTCTCGAGAATTATGATCACTTGCTCCCCTCTCTCTCTTGCAATCTGTCTCCCTTCCTCTTTTACAGTCTTCCGTGTGGCATTTACTTGATTTGTGCGAACTCCTTGAAGTTTCACTCCTTGAGTGTGGACTATTGCCTCGAGCAAACTTCCTTGGTGGTTCTTTTTGCTTTTCAGCTGACTTACTTTTCTGTCCAAAGATTTTTTCATCTTTATCATACGTTTTAAGGTCCTTTCTAGTCATATTTTGTGACCTTTCACTTCTTATATCACCATGAGATTCAACTCTTGTTTGAGATCTCTCTTTAGGGGTGGCTTGTTTCTCCCAAGAAGTAGTATACCTATCTGTTCGGTTTTCTGTGGCTGGACTAGATTTGAGCTTTGTGCTCTTACTTTCTTGCTGCAGCTCATTTTTATCTGATTTTTCTGAAAGCATTTGCAACTTCCAATGAGACTCTGCATTCCCTTGTTCACTATCTGTACCATTACTAGTGTTCTGGTATGCATCTCTTTTGTATCTGTTGTCATTTCCCCTGCTATACTGTTCACCATTTTTCACTTCCTTTCTTCCCCATGTACTATCCTTGTCAGAACAGTGTTCAGAGTTTGGGGGATGTGTACGGGCACCATCACTGCAATGTTCATCTGAAGGATATCTGAGTAAATATGGTGTAGTTCTTTTTTCTGAATATAGTTTTTCATTCTCTGAATTGTGAGGTGAACAATTGTGATGTGCATCTTTAGAAGAGTCATTTTTCAGTTTATGATCTGACCTTGTATTATCAACTGAAGCAGCTCTGAAATTAGAATCTTTTGATTTATACGTGTCTGAGCACCTTCCATTAGTAGATCCTGGAAGGTATGTTCTCGTGTAGTTACTTCGATGATTTGGAAATTCTGAAAGCCTGTTTGTGAACAGAAAGATATATTAGTTTTAAATATTATTTAAATTTAACTAAAGCAGAAAGTTAAATGAAACCTTGGTTTGTTCTTAAATATTTGTTTAATATTAATAATTACAGGATAACAAAGCTTAATGTTTCTGGAAAAGATTCCTGTATTATAACATTTGTTTTGCAGAATAAAAAATGAAAGTTAATACCCTGACTTCCTTGACCTTTCATAATTCACAACTCACATCTTCGATGCACTTTGTGAATGCTCAGTCTGAAGGATGGTTTGGCTAAAACTTATATTTAAAAATATACTTTTTACTAAATGAATGTCTAGAAATTTAAAAGAAAAGGACATAGTCAATCTACTTGTCCCCACAAAAACAGATTTTGTGGTGAAATCTCCCATCTGTTTTAAGTATCGGTTTTGTTATTTGAAATGACATTTCATTGCCAAGCAATGAAAAGTTATAAGCACCAGGGCCAGGCAAGAGAGGCTGTATCAAATAGATTTAGCCCTGAGATGTACATACACAAATAAAAGTAAAATGTCAGAGAGAACTCAGCAAATATATTATTCTGCACATAGCAGAGGTGTATTATGAACACACTTGGTTAGAGCAACAAATAAGTAAGCTATTGCAGAAGTGTTCTATCTTTGGCCCACAGGTCAAATGCAACCAATGAAGCCATCACATCTGGCCCATGGGGCAGGAAATTTGGCAGTGGGGAAGTAGTGGCTATCCCCACACAAAATTCCCAAACCCCAAGACCCAGACTACTGGTCACATCTGGATTGGAGGGCCAGGCCACACCCACAGTAGGCTGGGTTGTGGCTAGGATGCCCTGTGCCCCTCTCTATGTGGCCAGATGGTGCCAACTGCCCTGGCTAGGATGCCAGATTAGGACCATCAGCAGAATCCAGCCTGCCAGAGAAAAAGGTTGAGCACTATTGAGCTATTATATTTGGAATATGCGGCAAGTAATGAAAACCACGTAGTAAATTACAATAACTGAGCCTTATCTAGGTCATGTGTGCTATGGCTGGAAAGTCATCAACAGAAAAACAAATGTACAGCCTATGCAGACTGCACTTGTTAAAAGGTCACAGTTAAAATACCTAGCTAAAGACACATACTTTTGTACCACAACCAATACGTGGCACTCCACGAAAAAGGCATGGCTGAAAATAAAGCCAAGTTTCTTAACCTCATGCAACTAATTCTAAAGGACACCTATAAAAGGGCTCTAACAGTAACATGGGACCTACTGGCAGGATGTCCATTTTCAGAGAGTCTAACTAGAAACTGAATTAAAGCATTATTTCCAGGTCAAGAACAAATTTGTAGGAAACCAAAAGAGAAATAAGTGTATTCCTCTTGAAGAGAAAGTGTCTCATACCCTGAATTTAAGCTCTCCCCCTGCCATTAGATTCTATATATGGAAAATGTGTAAATTTATTATAATTTTTCCAGATATAGAATCAAATTATTGGAGGGTAGTCTTAAATTCATCCCCTACTGCTACACTAGGGAAAGCAGTGGCTGGGGGGGGAGGTAGCCCTCTTGCCTTTGCAACCTCCTTACTTCTTCCCCTTGCAGCCTTCCTGACACCCCCGACACCGGCACCCCCCCCATATCCAGCTCCTCATAGCCTCTTCCTCTCCCTCCCCACAATCTCCACCCCTTCCTTCCACTCCCCACTCCCCTTCCCCTATCCCTCCCTTACTATCAGACACTACTCAGGCTCCATTCTCACCCTGCCAACCATGCAGCAGTATCAGCACTGCTGATTGGCCAGGCAGTGGACAGAGTTTCCATGTTCTCCATGCCTGGGAGGGAATCCAGTCTGAGCCTGAGAGTAAGGGAAGAAGAAGGCAAGAGCCAGACGCTGCAGAGGGCAAGCACGGGGCAGCAGGAGGCTGCTGTGGGTCTGCCTCTGGCCCTGACCCGAATTCAGGGCTTGAATCAGAACCACGGCAGCCACCTGCAGCCCCCTCTACTTTGTATGCAACTTTAAGATGAGGGGCTTTCCCACACAATGCTGATGTAGGGGGGACACCTAATCTTAGATTCAAGTAAATATACTATATACTTTTCCCAGAGCATGGGGTGTGATATTTTTAAGGAAACTGAATTTTAGAAAAAAGTTATTGTGGTTTCTGAAGCTATTTCCCTAAAACCTCCTTCCATTTTTTTTGTTTCGTTTTCATTTTGAACTATATTACAGGTGTTTCTCACGTTTATTCTTTTCACGTGCCTAACTTTTGCTTTGTGCTGACATTTATTTTTGTCCTCATTTTTATTTGAGTGAAAAACCTGGTCTGAGACAAGGTCAGACAGAAGTCTATGTAAAAAATTATTTCAGGTTAAGTAAAAATTCTAACTTTTCATATTTTTATGTTAGAAATATGAACATAAAAATGTTTATTCCCACTATACATGAAACCTAACTCTCTGCTAGTGACTCAATCAGGTTTCCAGGGCTCTCTGTAGTGCAGCGAAACACTTTGAAGGGTGCCACAAAGTGTGAGGAGACAAGCAGGTAAGTGCAGGCTCAGGCTATTCTTTGCTTGGCCGTGCTTGCACCCACCCCCACTTGATTTCTCTGAAACAAGGTAAGTATTATAATAAATTAGTGTTTGAAATAGGGTAATATCAATTCACAAAAGTTACAAAGCGGTACCTCAAGTCTAAAAAGATTGAGAACCACCAGTCTACCAAAATACAGTCTCTTTTCAGGCCAACTGAGAGCAGCCTTAAGTATTTGAGCCATTCACCTACAGGTGCATCAAGCCTAGAATTTTTTGTGCATTTATGTCTGGACTTGTTTTAACCGCAGAAAATCCATGTCCTAATACAGTACAGAAACATGTCAAAGGGAACAGCATTTCCACCAAGAGCTAAAGACTATGAAAGTTAGGTAGCCTAGCAATTAAAAATCACGTGGATGCCTACATGCAATGCAAACATGACGGTATCCAAGTAATTTGTAGGAAATCACAGATGAAGAATCCTCCATTTAGCTTTCACTCAGCATTTATGTAAAGCGCCCTACGCACACAGCCAGTATGCTTAATATCAGATTCTGTGATAATTTTGTAATAAATAAATGAAATGGTGATTCTTATACAGATTTCTCTTAAGATTAAAAAATGATTACTCCTCCCTTCACAGATCTACCATTGCTAAAGATTTTTGGTCATCGGGCTAAGACTGTGTTGTTACAGGAATTTCAGAATAGTTTAATTCTAGTCATGCCCTGGGTCCTGAATTCATCACCATGGCATCCAAATATACAGTAGTTTGCAATATATGCAAAACCTCAACCAAGAGATTTCTCTGAAGACACACTTCAGCTGCAGTATAAATTAAATTGCTCTTATTAAATATTTGCCCAAAATTTTACTGTCAAGACAATTACAGCAGTGCCTCTACCTCCTTCTCTATTAACTCCAGACAAAGTCCTTGCAAAACATCCTAAAATGAGAACATAATTTTAATGATTGATCAAAAGAAGATTTTTAAATTATTACCTTCAGTTTATGACTCAACTAGCAACACAGAGAACCTGGGGGAATACCCCTAGAGTTTCTGATAGTTGACTTGAAAGGCAACAGTAAAAGCTGGAAGTTGCTACTATCTTTTAGGACTTATAGCAGTAGAGTTTAAAAGTATTTTTCAAAAGAAATGAAAACTTTTGAATAAAAAAAAAGAAAGAATTATCAAGGGCTAAAATATTCAGCTCAAAGTTATGAAGAAAACTGCAGACAGGTCATAGCAACCAAGTGAAAGAACTAACAAAGACCTGCCTTTCTCTGTTTATCAAATGGCATGCTACTCAAGTATATTCAGAAGGACAGTACCTCATGGCAATTAGGATTACAGGCAGCCCCTGCTTAACACTGTTTTGCTTAGCACTATTTCGCTATAACACTCATTTTAAATTGATACCTGATTCCACATATTAGTCATTTTTTTTTTTTTAATAACGCTTGCAGTTGCCATCTTGGGTCATTAAAAACACTTGTGGTCACCACCTTGGGTTGTCAAATACTTTCGATTTCACTTAACGCTCAGTTTTTCAGGAACTAATTAGGAGTGTTAAGCGGGAGTTGCCTGTACAAACAATTTAACCACTCTCCACCTCATTCATAGCGCTTCTAATAATCTTCTTTAGGGAAGAAAGACTACTGCATAGGCTAGATGCTCATCACCTCCAGCACTGCAATCATCTGCTTATGTCAGTGAGTTTTTTCCTTGCAAGATTTTGAGATGTAAATAACATTTTCTTATCTTTTTTTTTCTAATGGAAGAACAAATAAACTAAGTCACTGTATCACACAGGAAGTGAGCAAGGGAGACAAGAGTTTAACTTATATGATCTAAGTCCCAGTCCAATGCCTCAACCTCAAGAGTCAAGAAAAGTTACAGCAAACTGCTATCCATTCTATACATCAATACTTTTAACTTCCCAAGCTTTGACAACCAGAGTATGACAAACTGCTAAATTCACAGAGCTCCCTACCAATAAGAACAGAATAGAGCTCTCTAATACCTGGCTAAAAGACTAGCAAAAATCCACAGGATTTATAAAACTATATTTTGAAAATTAGGCTACTCTGAAGCTGAAACATGGATGAAATACTTACTGCACTGAAACAAATGAGGGCTGACCAGATTATGCAGGAAGTTAAAAAATATGGCTCAAAAATGTGGATGAGCACTTGGTCAGCTGCTAGGTAGAATCCTCAAGATTTCAAGCTGGCATTTAAGACAAAGAGTTATGTATGCATTTCGTGTTAATATACTAAAATTAGTTAAGTACGCAAATGTATACTAATGTGCGATTTTTCCTCTTGCCAATTTAAAATATGCTTGTAGCATGTAATGGATGTAAACTTATGGTCAGGCAAAAAGGAAGTCATAAATTAGCTTAGTCTACTGATACCTTTGGTGAAGATTACTGATTTCCTCATCCTTGCGATTAATTTCCACTCTGGCTGTTTTGATAAGTGCTGAAATATTCTTTTTAAGGGCCTGATTTTCATTTTGTAGAACGCTGTTCTACTTGAAGGAAAAGAAAAGATACAGAATTATCCTTACAAATATTCATTCAGGTACATGAGAAAGCAATTAGAAAGACATTAGTACATACAAACGTACTAAAAACATACTGAAAATTACATAGAAGTCAAAGTGAATAAATGGCCTCTTGGTTGATATATTTCCTATAGAAGTCAAATTTTCCCTCCAATTTCTCTTCCTTCTAAAAGTTATTTTAACGTACCAGTTGCTAACAATGAAACATGCCTTAAACTGAGTACCCATACAGCTGTATTCCTAACCCCCATCTTCCTTTCTTGCTTCATCCCTTCCATGGCTGCTTGTTTTCACTGTCACGTGAACTGTAAGATTTAACTTGTAAACTCTTTGCAGCAAAAAAGCTAACTTTGTCTTTTGTGATTTGCCTAGCACTCTTGTGTGCTATGAAACATGATTAAAATTTTGAGAGATTATATTCTCATTTTACTCCTATTTTATTGTAGTCACCCTCTCCTGGATAGCATTATTGCTTACGACAGAACAGTTACTGTTGTGGGTATAAGATTCTGTTCAGCAAAAGAGAAAATGAATGATGTAGGAACCAATTTTGAGGCATCAAAAAAACCTTCACCTCTCATTAGAATTAGCCGAATCTAAGTGCTTAGCACCACAATGCATCTGGATTTTACTTGCTGCTTTAAGATCCTTTCTTCATGAGCAACTACTCTTAAATGACTTCTTAGATCATGACACTAAAAATTAAAAATGCAAAGATTATCAAGAGAGATGTATAGCTTTCCAGAAGCAGCCAGTTTGACATATTTGCATTTTAAATATAGATTTCGAATAAACGAACCTATATATTGCATGTAACTTCAGAAACACAAGCATATTCATCTAGTACATGGATTTGTCATAGTTTCATAGTTCGTAGGGTTGGAAGGGACCTGAGCAGATCATCGAGTCTGACCCCCTGCCATGGCAGGAAAAAGTAC